TAATAGGTCCAAGAAAATCTGGAAAAAAAAATCTCACTGCCATTGAGTCCATTCTGACTCATAGTGACCCCACTGGGTTTCCAAGGTTGTAAATCTTTAGCTAGCCGCATCTTCTTCTGCAGAGCAGCTGGTGGGTTTGAAACGCTAACCTTCTGGTTAACAGTCAAATGACTTAGGCACTGTGCCACCATAGCTCCTTAAGAAAACCCTAGAGGTAACTTATTTTTTGGATATACATATGTTTACTTCATAATGATTCACTAACTGAACATTTTCTAAATAAGTCTTCTATTTTACAATAAAACCATTTATTAAAAGGAGAGTGTGAGAGAAGGAAAAGTAAAATGATTCCAGAGAAGACTAGATTCTTACAGCTAGAGATTATTTCCCTGTAATAAACCCTTCTATCTTTTGCCATGATTCTCTTCAGTGTAGATCTTTTTGCATATTTAGCTTAGACCAGCAGGTAGATACTTCTTCTATAAGGGGCCATGTAGTTTATATTTTTTGCCTTAAGATGCAAAGGATCTCTGATGCAACTACTCAACTCTGCCACTGCAGCAACGAAGTAGTCATAAGTAAAATGTAAATGAGTAAGTGTGGTTCTGGTCCACTAGGAGTTTATCTATGGACATTGAAATTAGAATTTGATATAATTTTTATATTCATAAAATATCATTGTTATCTTGATTTTTCTTTTTTTTTTTTTTTACCATTTATATGTGTTGCTGTTGTTGTTGTTATGTGCCGTCAAGTCTGACCCGACTCATAGCGACCCCTCCTTGGGTTTCCGAGGCAGCACCACTACGAAAGTAGATTGCCCCATCTTCCTTCTGAGGAGTAGCTGGTGGGTTTGAACCACCAGCCTTCTGGTTAGCAGTCAAGTGCCTTAGGCACTATGCTATCAGAGCTCCCATTTATATGTGTAGACATATATTTTCAGTTCCCTGGTAGCGTAGTTAGGGACTTAACTCTATGAGGGCTTTTTACGACATTCTAACTACCACCAGAAGGCTGCTGGTTCAAACCCACCAGCCACTCCTTGGAAGGAAGGTTGGACAATCTACTTTTGTAGTGATATCACCTCAGAAATCCAAAGAGGGGTTGTTATGAGTTGGATCCGACTCGATGGCAGTGAGATATACAAGTACATGTGCATATATAATGTATTCCCAAATACATATACATATATACATTTGCTAGAGAAATGCTGTAATATGATAGGAACACAGTTACTGAAATTCAAGTCAAAACATCACCATTTTACTTCACATTTACTTACCATTGACTTGTTTTCAGGTGCCTTTGAGTCAGCTCCAAATCACGGCTATCATGTGTACTAAGTCCTGCTCCATACTCCTTGCTATGCCTGAGCCTATCATCACAGCCACTATGCCAATCTATCTCGTTGAGGGTCAATCCCCTCTACTATATCAAATATGGTATTTCTTCTCCAGTGACTGGTCCCTTCTGACCACATGACAAACTGGTGAGACAAAGTCTGGTCATTCTCACTTCCAAGGAGTATACAAGCTGTATTTTTTCCAGATCATAGTAGTTTGTTATTCTGGCCACCACCCACCCACTGCTAACAAATTGATTCCAACTCATAATGAGGACAGAATAGAACTGCCACATAGTATTTCCAAGGTTGCAAATCTTTATAGAATCAGACTGCCTCGTCTTTCTCTCACAGAGCAGCTGTTGGGTTTGAACCACTGACCTTTGGGTTAGCAGCCAAATACCGTCATCACAGAGTCACCAGAGCTCCTTCAGTATTTTTTGCCCACACAATTCAATGGCCTCAATTCTTCTTTGGTCTTTCTTATTCATCTTCCAGTTTCCACATGCCTATGAGGTGATTGAAAATACCGTGGCTTGGGTTAGGTGCACCTTAGTCCTTAAAGTGTCCTTTACGTGACACTTTGTCTTTATCCCTTTAAAGAGGGCTTTTGCAGTATGTTTTCCATATCATCTGCTTTCTTGACTGTTGCTTTCATGGGTGTTTATTATGGATCCAATTAAATTGAAATCCCTGAAAGTGTCAATCTTTGCTCAATTTATTGTGATGTTGTTTATTGGTCCAGTTGTGAGGATTTTCATTTTCTTTAAATTGAAATATAAGCCATACTGAAGACTGTTCTTCAAGTCATCTTCATTTTCTGCAAGAAAGTCTGGGTAGTCTGCATATCGCAGGTTGTTAATGAGTCTTCCTCCAATCCTGATGCCATGTTCTTCATATAGTCCAGCTTCTTGTATTATTTGCTCAGCCTGCAGATTGAATGAATACTGTGAAAGGACACAACCTTGATGTACACCCTTCCTGATTTTAAACTATGCAATATCCTCTTGTTCTGTTCAAACAACTACCTTTTGATCTAGTATAGGTTTCTCATGAGCCCAATCAAATGTTCTGGAATTCCCATTCTTTGCTCTATTATCCATCATTTGTTAGGATCTGCAGAGTCAAATGCACTTGCATAGTCAATAAAACAAAGGTAAACATCTTTCTTGTTCAATTTCTGGATTTTTCCTGTTGATATACTACTGTAAATATTTTTTAATTATCTTCAGCATAATTTTACTCGTGTGTGACATTAATGATAAACCAAAAACTAAACCAAACTCATTGCCATCAAGTCAATTCTGACTCGTAGCAACCTCCATTGGCTTGCCAGGGCAGTAAATGTTCACCAAAATAGATTACTCCATCTTCCTTCCACAGAGTGGCTGGTGGGTTTGAATGGCCAACTTTCTGGTTAGTAGTCAAATGCCTTAGGCTCTGCCCCACTAGAGCTCCTTAATGATATTGTTCAATAATTTCCACATTCAGTTGCATCACCTTTTTTGGAATGGACACATTCTTCCAGTGAGTTGGCTGAGTTAGCAGTCTTCTGAATTTCTTGACATAAATAAGTGCCTCCATTTCAGCATCTATTTGTTGACACATCTCAATGGGCATTCTGTCAATTCCGGGAGCCCTGTTTTTCACCAATTCCATCAGTGCAGTTTGGACTTCTTCCTTCAGTACCATTGGTTCTTTATCATATGCTGTCTCCTGAAGTGTTTGAACATTGAGCAATTCTTTTTGGTACAGTGACTCTGTATTCCCTCCATCTTCTTTTGAAGCTTCCTGCATTGTTCAGTATTTTGCCCATAACATTCTTCAGTATTGGAACTTGAGGCTTGACCTTTTTCTTCAGTTCTTTCAGCTTCACAAATGTCCAGTGTGTTCTTCCCTTTTGGTTTTCAAATTCTGGATCTTTGCACGTTTCATTAGAACACATTTCATTAGATTGGTGTTCAATCTGTTCCTCTGATGGTCTCTAAATTCAGGTGCAATATAATCAAGGTCATATTTTGGCTCTCGTGTACTTGTTTTAATTGTCTTCTTCTTCAAATTGAACTTGCATATGAGCAGTTGGTGGTGTGTCCTGCAGTCGGCTCCTGGCTTTGTTTGAGTGATGATATTGAGCTTCTCCTTCCCCTCTTTCCATAACTGCAATTGATTTGGCTTTTGTGTATTCCAGCTGATGAGGTTCACGTGTATGTAGCCACCATTTGTGTTGTTGAAAAAAAGTTATTTGCAATGAATATGCTGTTGATCCTGCAATGTCTGTCGTCATTTCTAATACCAAGGCTGTATTTTCCAACTACTGACACCTCTTTTTTGTTTTCAACTTTGGCATTCCAATCACTGGTAATTAGCAATACATCTTGATTGCATGTTTGATCAATTTCAGACTGAATAAGTTGATAAAAGTGTTCAATTTCTTCATATTTTGCCTTAGTGGCTGGTGCATACATTTAAATAATAGTCATATTAACTGGCCTTATTGTTTGTTGTTGTTGTTATGTGCCATCGAGTCGGACCCAACTCATAGCGACCCCTCCTTGGGTTGCCGAGGCAGTATCAATACAGAAGTAGATTGCCCAACCTTTGTAGGCAGATGGATATTATCCTATCACTGACAGCACTGTACTTCATTGTTCTTATAAGAACATTTCAATACAACAGACTTAGAATGGGAGATTTAGTTAATTATTTAAACTTGGTTTCCACAAGTGAAAACAAGAATATTAAATTTGATAAAAGTTTAATTTTTTTAATCCTAACAATATATGCAAGTTAATTACTTACAGTAGATTCATTTGTTTATCATTTTGTTATGTATTAGTACAAGTCATATTTTCACTTTTTATTTATTCAGTAATAAGGCAATTTGATAAGTATTTGACATACTGGTTATTTCTTATAGAAGTAGAGTTTAAGTATTATGCTATTGCTAAAAAGGCAAGGAGACCACATCTCCTGACCTCCTCTAACCCCACAAGAGGAAGACAGAGTCATTATCAGTAACCCAAGGCCTATTACTGCAAGGCCAGACATGCTGCCTCCCTCCAGCCCTTTCACCAACCGTTCCTCCCACAGCACCCACCACCTGTCTCCTGGGTTCGATAATTTGCTGCAGTGACCACACAGAACTCACAGATTATGGGGTTTATTAGGGAAGCACCGGGTTGCAATTCAAGTTCAGGAAAAATGCTCAGTCTCTCTCCCAGCCCGCCGTTTCTCAGCCAACAGTTTCTCACAGTCTGTCTCCCAGCAGTATGTGTCCCTCCGTGTCTCTTTCAGCAATGCGTGTCTCCTGCGTCTCTTTCCCAGCAGCGTGTCTCTCAGAAGCATGTCCTTCCTCAGCCAGCAGTCAGAGAGTTCTGCCTCTAGGAGGCCTCCTTTTGAGCCTGGCAGAGTGGCCAAACTAACCAATCTTAACATCAGAATTCTAAGCATCTGAGAGAGAGCGACCCTCCCAGAACATTGCTTGTGCCGCGCCCAACAGAAATACCCCAGGTGGTCTATTTTAGTAATCAGGAGCTCCTCAGTTGCTCATTCCATCACTGAGTTTATGAAGACTTATGCCTAGAAAAGCCACACTAAATAATTTACTACACCGCAGATATATGTCTAATTACATTTTTAATCCTTTGTTCAATTTTAGCCTTGGATCTACTGTGCAATTTTCTTGTGATGAAGATTATGTCCTACAAGGTGCAAAGAGCATCACTTGTCAAAGAATAGCTGAAGTCTTTGCTGCTTGGAGTGACCACAGGCCTGTATGTAAAGGTAAAGGAAAGCTTTTAAAATAAAAATACTTCTTAACACTGTTAAATAGTTCAAGCTTTGTTCTATTTAACATCAAGTACACTTAAATCTTTACCTTGTAATTTAATCTTTAAGAAAACATTCAGCTCATGTATTTAAGTTATGGAAAATCTGTAATATATGAACCATTGTACTAGTTCCCCAAGGAATTCACAAACTAATAATCATGTAACAATTAACTGAACCATAAAATATGTAACTTAAATCACTGAAAATTATTTTTTAATCACAAATTACCTTGCTATAGGATTTGATATGGGTTTGCTTTTAAATCGTAATTTAACCTCACTTTTAAAATTTCCCATTTGTGTTGCTTATGTGTCTAATAGTAGCAGTGTTGGTGCCAGTCCAGCTGGAGGGTATGTTCTGTAGTGGGCTAATTTAAACTAAGACAGATCAATCAGTGTTATGGCTTTTTCACATTCCTAGTAATTTAAAATGGAACAGTGGTTTTGTTGTTGTAGTTTTTTTTTTTTTTTTTTTATGACCTATTCAATTTCTTCTTTTGTTATGGCTCTGTTCAAATTTTCAACCTCTGTCTGTGTTAGTTTAGGTAAGCAGTGTTTTTCTAGAAACCTGTCCATTTCTTCTAGGTTTTCAAGTTTGTCGAAGTACAGTTCTTCACAGTATCCTGATATTATCTTTTTTATTTCAGTTGGTTCTGTTGTGACGTTGCCCGTTTCATTTCTTTTTCATTATTTGCATCTTTTCATTTGTTAAATTTGCCAGTGGTTTATCAATTTTATTGATCTTTTCAAAGAACCAATTTCTAGTCTTGCTGATTCTTTCTATTGTTTTTCTGTTTCTTTTATTTCTGCTAGAACCTTTTCTTCTGGTGAACATAGACTTTTTTTTTTTTGCTACTCTTTTTCTAATTGTTGGAGATTTTGGATTAAGGTTTTGAATTTGTCTTCTTCTTCTTTTTTGATTTGTGTATTTATTGCTATAAATTGTCCTCTGAGCACTACTTTTACTGTGTCCCAAAGATATTGGTGTGCTATGTTTTCATTCTCATTTGATCTAAGATTTTTTTTTTTTTTAAATCATGATTGGGGTGAGTTTTCAGAGCAAATTCATTTGCCATACAACAGTTCATACACATTCTGTTTC